TGTATATTTATATTTTTATATTTGTATATGTATATGTATATGTATATGACTAATTTAACTAATAGATCTGAATAAACATATCATACTTTTAATATTAATATCTCAATTAATATCATTCTAATACAAGTGATTTAGAAGAAATACAATATTATTATCAAAATCTAGAAGTAATGATAGTCACCTTAACGTTAGGTAATTTTTTTTTGTCATTTTACTTCTTAAATTTTATCTTCTATTTATAATGCTTAATATAGAAATATTTTTATTAGTAAAAATTTATCAATTATGTAATTGTATTTGTATAATCATTACCTATTTAATTATTTATTTTATTTACTTCATTTTAATTAATGATGGAAATTCTTTAAATTAAGAGTAAAATATTACTTTAATTAAGCTATTAATCTTAAAACTTTTATAAAAAAAATATGCCCAACCCAGCATTAAATTTTCTTTATTTTGTTTTATGTATAAATATAAATTTTATTAAATTTATTTTTATTATAATTTTAGTTTACAAATCATAATTAATTTTTGTTAATTATTACCTTAACTTTTGATTATTTGTTACAATTATATTGTTAAAATGTTATTAATTACAGTCTTATCATTATTTTAATTGTATCTTTTGATTATTATATATAAGTTGGCATATATTATTTAATCAATTTCATTGTTTGATAAGTTTCTAATTGAACATAACAATCATTATTATTTTTACAATTGAATTTTATATTTTAAATTTCAATATTAATTGTAAAAAAATAATATTTAAAATAAATATAATCTTGAGTGAAAAATGTTCAAAATAACAAACATAACCCTAGTAAGTTTTAGTCAGGCCTCGTGAGTTTTTGCAGGCGTGAGTTTATGCAGGCACATGCAATTTAAGTCAAACTCAAATGAATTAAGTTAAGCCTAAGAAAATTAGATTAAATTAGATTGAGGAAAGCTTAATTAAAAAAAGGCACAATTACATTAATTTGATGAGTTTAGACCAAATTACGGTCACAGATGCCAAATTGAGCCTACTCTCAATCACATAATGTGGTTGATTGAGTTTTTACTCAATTCAAACTGATGATTTGGCCTATTTAGTGATACTGAACCAGATGTGAATAGGTTGTTCTCCTTAAGATAATAAGAACAACTCCTTTGCCTTCATGCTAACTAACAAACCCTTGCAAGACTTTAGTACAACTTATCTTTCATTACTAAGAGTACTTAAGAATATCAAATCCCTCTCATACATCTGACTCCAACCAATTTCCTGATAACACCTTCACGCGTCTTTAACTTCACAATATAAAATCAATTGTCATGTATAAACAGTTGCTTAATATACACGCATAGACACCAGAACACGAGTACAAGTGAAAAACAACTACTTAAAAAATCAATGATATGAACTCCACTGATTATTTATACTAACTCCAACAGTCACTAAAAGATATCACTTATATTTGAATTAAGCCAAAGCTGCAACACTGGCATCTATTAACTTGTCATCCTCCTGAATTTCATTCAAATGTTGCGCCTTCCTCTTCAAAACACAGAAAATCACAGAAATATCTCTTAAAAGTGTCATTTCATCTTGCAATAAAAGCGAGCATGTCTTTGGATCTACCATAAAATTTATTTCTGTTAAGGTCAAAGGTAGAATTCTTCGAAATGATCTTCCCCTAGCAATAATTTCTCAAATGACTTCCCATCTCCATATCCAACTTAGCAATAACATTTAAAAAAAACGTGAATTTTTGACTTAAAGATGTATTTTCCGTACTATATGGAGTAATGAAAATACTTATATGATCAACATAAGGGTATAATAGCAATAAGAACTGATAATCGCTATCAATCACCAAAAAATTAAATTCATCAGTATGTGATTTAATGAGCATACCGTCCTAAAGTGAAGCAATACATTCTCTATTTTTAATTAAGCTTGTTAAAAAGGCATGTAATCAAGTACAAATATTTAACTTGAACCAAAATCCCTCCATAGTTGTTTCCACAGTAACCTCCATCAAAATGTTGAGAGAGCTTTCAACATCCATCTATTTTGTCTTCTTCAGTCATGATCTCTGGCATAGCTGATGCCACATGAGCGCCTAAAGGAGTCTCTATTGGATTGAAACTTCAAACCACATCGTTCTCTGAAGTTCAAAACTTTTGGAGCTATTAAACTTCTTAATCTCAAACACAGACATCACATGCCTCATTATATTTTAATATTGGTTGCTAGGAAAAACATCCAACTTTTATGCAAGAAAAATATACAACAGGCAGATGATCATCTAAAAAATAAAAAGTTAAACACAATGTTGGGACAATAGAGCAATGGTATCTGGTAATTTAATCAAGATGGTCAAAGTTCAAAAAAATCATGAAATAAGCAAGTTTATGTAATCATTAATAAAATTTAACAATGTGAAAAAACTACCAAAAAAGGAACCATAACTTGAAGTACTAGCATACCTGCAGACTTTGTTGTCCTTCACATTTTCCATTAACCAACTGCAGATGATAAAAAGAAGATATTGGAAGTTGCACTAAGGAACAGATATTTCAGAAGATGTTTAAAGTGATCAAAATTATAGATCCATCAGGAAAAACCATACCTGAAGAACCTTATATAAGCAACCTTTCGATCCCCCAGAAAAAGAGACGAGTACAATAGGCAATGGTCTAAACTTTACTTCCTGTAGCTCTCATTACAGAAAGCAGAACAAAACCAATTAGCATGCATTCAAGTAAAATGGAGCAGAAACAAAGATGCTAGGCGTAGAAAATATCATAATAGTCTCAAAATAATATCACCTTTATAATTTAACTCTGCAAATACTGATTGATTAACTGCAAATAATGCTCTATAAATGCAGAGTCAAAAAGAACTTAATATACTAACAAAAATAATTGGCATAATTACTTCCCCACATCACTTTTTCATCAACTATCATACAAAAGGAGCTCTCACAAGCAAGGATTGAAGAACTATATACTCCGTAGGCTTTCAATAAAAAAGACGAGTGCTTGCAAAAGGCTAAGAGATAAAATAAACATTTCCATAAAAATCATGATAGATATTTACACAAAAGACGGTGGCATGCCAGGTGATCAAAAGGTAATAAGTTACAAGAGCATATGGAATCATGAAATTGATGCCATTTTTGCTTTTAAAAAAGAAGTTCCACCCTTAACAATAAACTCTATTGTGCATGCCAGCAAAAATAGTACAAACCTTAATCAGTTCATCCAGAATACCTCGGGCTAGCATTGAGGCCTTCTCAGGAAAAAACCTGCACATTATTACAATTATTTAGCTGAATAACTTGATCAAACAGAAAATATTATTATATAGAGAGGAAAATATGTAGATAAACATTTAAGTACCACAAAATTGTGCATTATACATTTAATTAAGCTCAAGTAGTTCAAAATTTCTGATCCTTAATCTTCAGCTTTCTATAAACTACGTAAACTTCTTTAAGATAACCGACATCTGCAAAGATTTGTTGAAACAGACCCACCTAGAGCAACAATATGTTTCAACAAATTCATAACCCATCAACAAAGAATACGGAGAAAGTGTGATGCATCACATATGAGACTCTTCAAAGTGATTTTTCTAATAGAAACGGTGAAAGTAAAGTCTTTAGTATAGAACATAAAATTAAGGAGGAAAAGGCAAGTACACAGTTGATGTCAGCACTTGCGCCATAAATCGATGAAATTAAAGATTTAGTAGAGAACATGAAATTAAGGAGGTAAAGGCAACAACTACACAGTTGTTGTCACCTCTTGTGCCATAAATCCTAATCAACTTTTTTATCAATATAAATATATCAGAAAATATCAATATAAATATATCAGAAATAGCCAGACAGCATACGGCAAGGAATTTCAGTGTATTCATAATTATAACTAGAATTATACGGAGATTGATGAGGCATTTATTAAAATTAACTTAAAGCTTACATAAAAATATTTAAGTAAAATCTATCACCTAAAATTAAGAGCAAAGTTTATTGACTCTCTACAACTCTACAACAGATTGTTGAGTACGAAAATTTTTTGATTAATTTGAGCACAAAAAAGTCAACGTCATATCAAGCGTTCTTCAATGATTACTCTCAAAAAATCTTATGCTATGACAAACGTGACACATGTCCTCTAATTGTATGACTTTGTTTTCAAATGACACCACAAAAAAAAAAAAAAAAAAGGAGAGATTAATATTGGGACATTTTATTTGGGCAGTTCGCCGCAAAAAAAAATCATTATATTATAATCACATGAAAAGCTTGAATGTTTCCCAATGGCTTAATATTTTTAGGTTGAGAATCATATAATGCACTTAAAAGAGAAAAAAAAATAATCTTTTGTTAACTAAGGATGATATAACCCCTCACTACTAACAATGATCACTTAGTCTGATTGAGTCAACTATCTTCTCTGACTAATTTACAAGGGCCCATGACAATTTCGAATTATCATAGGAACTTAATTAGGTTCATTTTCATTCTCATCACCAACCACTTTAAGCTACATCAATGAAATCTAAAACTAAGACAATTGTAAATTAAAATTATTTCTATTATAAGCTAAACACTTATAACCTAATGACTAAACTTAATTGAAAGTTTTCTCCTATCACAAGGTGGGTGGGTGTGTGTGTGTGTGTGATGCAAGGGTTTGGCTAGGGTAATTTCAGCATCTTGATTGCCTTAGCATTATTTATTTTGACTAATTTGATGATACTTATGATTAAATTGTCATACATGGATAATTGAGAGACTATTTTAGGATTTAATATATTCAACCTTAATGATGCTCAATATTTTCCTTAATTGCTGAACGCTTATTTGAAAATGTTGATAGCGCATTTTTTCATTATTTTTTTTAAATATCTATACAAAAAAAAGTTTCTTTTTGAATTTAGTGATGATCATAATGATAATCAACGTCTTCCAAGATAATTGTGCACTATAAAAATTTACAAAATAAGAACTTTTCTGACGTGGGTGACTCTGCTTAGACCGGTTTAGTCCAAGGTTTTTGAGGGTCGGCCTACCGGCTCTCTAGTCGGCTTGGGTGTATTGCCCAATTAGAGTAGGGCCCACTCCTAGCTATCTAGGATTATATATGTGTTTTGTTAGTATTTAGGGTTTAGTTTTTGTGTGATTTGCTTTGGAAAAACCGTCAGTATCTCTTTTTCCCTTTCTGAGGTTGTATCCAAATGTTCCAAGTGGTGCTCTCGCTATATTTCATTCCCGCAGGGTGTGTATCCCTTTCTACCCATCCCAAACTCTCTCCCACATCGATCCCCTAACCCTCACCATTTTCCATCTTGTTGTTACCACCTAGAAAGATACTAAAACCGTTGTTATCCCTACCAATACCTGGTTGAAACCAGAAAGCAACAATTCCTGCTTTCCAACTTGTTGCCCCCCTTGCCGAATCCTATTGCTTGTTGTTAAACAACCGCCTCAAAATCACCTATACCCTCGATCCAACCCTAGTTCTAGTGTTCTATTTTTGTTTTCTTACAATTTCAATTTTTCCTATTGTTTGTTAAGATTTCAGACTTTGAATTCAATAATAATTTTTGTTTTCCCTTGGGTGTTTGTTAAATTTCGTTAACATTTTCATAACTAGTTAACAAATGTATTCATCCTAATAAATGAATAATGAGAATGATATACATCATTTTTTTCACATTTCCAACGTGATAATTAAGCATACATTCGAATTATTAATTTGCTTACTAGTTTTATATGAAAAATCAAGCAGGGAAGAGGTGAATGGAACCTACGGTAGGCATCTCCTTCTTAGGGCAGCAAATTGTCTAATTTCAATTCCTGTTTTCCATAACTGCTCGCCTCAATATTGTATTTAAATTTCGATGTCATGCATTAGCATGTTTCCAGCAAAGGTTGTAGTATGTGTATTTCTTTTAATTTCTTTTTTTTTTTTTCCTAAACTCCACATGCATATACCATTTTGAAATAATTAGAATAAAAGGAATTATTTTCTTCTCTCCTTCATGTCCATTCTCGGTTACTTCATCAAGAGAGAAAACATCTTTCAAAATATACCCAAAATCACCAACTCTTCTGAACAAACATGTAAATCATCTATGACAAACAAATGGTGCTTACAGAGTGAGGAAATCCGTATGGCAAACGAGGCAACCCCATCCGAGAGACCAGTAGAGATCCACATACGGTGTCAGATGTTTCTCATGGCTGGAGAGCCACGCGAAGAGCACCACGATCCCTTCTGCTTTCTTTCTCCCTTCCTCCTTCCTTCCCCAATAGAACCGACCCCGCATCCTTCGAAACAAGCAAGGATAATAGAAGAAGAAGGGATACTTATGAGGTACTGCTTCCGTCGACCAAGGAAAAAATATTACACCAGGAATGTTGTGCTTACCCAATGAAATCACGCCACGATATCCTACGCGACGCAGAAAAAAAACGGCTCAGTAACACCGATACTTATGAGGTACTGCTTCCGTCGACCAAGGAAGTACTAGGAACGTGCGTGCCCAATGAAATCACGCCACCATATCCTGCGCGACGCAGAAAAAAACGGCTCAGTAACACCGGGAATATTCCCCCCGTGTTATTCATGTGTTATTGTGTGTTATTCATGTGTTATTGTATCCTGAAAATATTCTTGGTGTTATAATAACACAATAACACATCAATAACACATGAATAAGACACAATAACACATGAATAACGCGCAATAACACATGAATAACACAGAAGAGAATATCTCCCGTGTTACTGCGCCGTTTTTTTCTCTGTCGGGAATATTTCGCGTGTTATTCAAGTGTTATTGTGTGTTATTCATGTGTTATTGTATCCTGAAAATATTCTTGGTGTTATAATAACACAATAACACATCAATAACACATGAATAAGACACAATAACACATGAATAACGCGCAATAACACATGAATAACACAGAAGAGAATATTCCCCGTGTTACTGCGCCGTTTTTTTTGCTCTGCCGCGCGAGATGTCGTGGCGTGTTTTGATTGGGTACGCACGTTATTTTTACGTGCGTAGTACTGATGTAATATTTCTTCTCGACCAAGCGCCATCACTCTTTTATTAATATTTTTGGGATTCCGCACGGGTTGTGTTGATTAAGGTCGTTTTGTAGTGTTTGGGGGTCGGTCTCTTCATCCCGCAGGCGAGATCCTGCATCCCATCTTTCATATTTATTCTTTTTTATATTTTCTGCAACTTTGAGACGTTTTTTTGAGCATTAAAGGAAATATATTATTAAAAAATGAAATTACAGTTTTTTTGATGAGTTGTATATCTGATTTGAATATTCAAAACAATGTGCTATGAATAATGAAAGTACATTTTTTGGATTATTTGACATTTGCTTTATCCGCGTAATATGTTATTGATGTATTATGGAGATTTCTCTTATATCTTCTCCAATTATGAGCATTTACCTGACCAAATGTTTCATATATATTTTCAATTTTTTTAACAAGTTAAATTCATATTTTAAAGCTTAAGATTTGTTTGATCACTTTGCACATAAAGGTGACTGGTTTTATTTGGTCAATTTGCATAAAAGAAGTGCAATTCTTCACTTCGAGCTTCTGGTTTTAAGGTAAAATGTTAAATTTTCCATTTTATTATATGCCCGTTCATGCAATTTGTGGGTTTTTTCTAAAACATTGAATATAGTCTTCAACAAGAAGATGTAGGGCTCCGTTTGTTCAGCCAATGTTAAATATTATCTTACTTTTGTTTGGTTGCATGAACAGTGATGGTGGTTTTTTCATAAAATGTTGAGGACTTGCTACTTATACATGAAAAAAGGAGTATTTAGGTGTTCCACATGTAATTGCATATAGAATTTGTGTTGAAGATGTCTATTTCGTAGTTAATTTACTTGCAAATTCGATGCAGTTGGTTTACTTGCAAATTTGATGCAGTTGGTTTCTCTTACAAGAACTTACTAATTTCTCATGTCACCCAACAATTATTCGAAGTTTATCATGCTTTAGTGCATACCAAGTTCTTCTATTTATCATATAACCATTGAACTTATAGATGTAAGAACAAATGGGCAACACAAGGGACAGCGCGTCATCCGTTGTCTAAGAAAAGAATACCAAAATGATTTTTTATGACATTTGCTTGCATGAAATTGAGTTAGGAAATAAACTAACAATACATTTTAGTAAAAATGGTTGGCAAAAACTTACAAAAAATTTTTAAGAAAGAATAGGTTGGTTGCGTGACCAAACACAGTTAAAGAATAAGCATAACCAGCTAAAAAAAGATCAATAATTTTGGAAGGATATCAAAAGAGGATCAACCAGACTTGTATGAAATCCCATAAAAAACATCATTGATGCATCACCTGAGTGGTGGAAGGAAAAGTTAGAGTTATGACTAAATGAACGGAATGTATAATTATTTCATCTAAACTATTTCAATACATTTGTTTTGGTAGCTTCTCTTTTTCATTGTACAAATGTCAGGTCGTGCCAACTGCTAAAAATTCAGGTATGGTGGTATCAAAATTGAGATAGAGGAGAAGCTTGATCTCATGATTAGCGGCATTGTCACAACTAGTGGTAATTCATGGACTACTCAAGAGTCACAAGAACAGAGAGATAGCCCAATTGAACCAACTTAAAGATCATCCCATGACATCCTTAAGCATAGTGAGTCCAGCCACTTTAGGATACCACCCTCTTTAAAAGCAAGGGTTGATCACAATAAAAAAATTGGCCCTGCTTATCTGAGGAGTTATATATCATAATTAGCTATAACTTGTACCAATTTATTTGTTGATGCTAACATGGTAAATGCCTCCTCATCTATTCCTGATGTGATGAAGATTTTAGAAGAAACTAGAGAAGTTTATGAGGGCATGCATTTGTACCCATACTCTCTGAAGCTGCTTAAAGATCTTGTTAAGAGGGAGTTTCTTCATATTGTTGGCACTCGAGCGAAGGGTTAATTACATTCATGTTTTTTATGAGCAACACAATAACTAATTTCTATTAAATCTATGTTATTTTAAGTGCACTCTCTTTATTAAGCTTCATTACTATAAAGCAGTACTCATTTAGTTAATTTGGTTTCTATGCTTTCTATTGGTTGATGGATAGTGGAATAATTACTTATTTGCACTGGTTTTTAATATGTTAGTTTATGGTTGGACGATGTCATTCGCTCTGAATTGTAATGATATTATCTGTTGATATTCTTGTTTCTTTCAGTAATGGATGCCACCAGAATTGAACATAGAGAGCGTTGCAAAAAAAATTACACTTGCCATTATCTGCTTGTTTACCAAGTACTACGAGTCATATATCTCTAGGACTCTATGCATGGCATTTTCATTTACGGGTGATAAATTGATAGAGTAAATGTTGCATGGACATACAATAAGATTTCATAACATGTTTCATATGAGCCAAGTCATCTTCATCGATCTCTTAAACTTCATCCACAATAATTATGGCCTCAAGATTCCTCTAGAATGACTTCACATGAAGTTTTGACAATAACCTTAAATATATTGCCACATAATCAATCCATTAGAGCAGGCTGTAAGAGATTTTAGCACTAAATCGAAACCATAAGTTTTCAATTGGATTGAATGCTTTAGTGCACATGCCCTCTGAAATCATCAAGCCTGAAGATCCAACCTTTCAAAATTTCTCAATACAAATCTTCAGTGACCAGCGGTACATGTCATACTTCAAGGTATGTTTATTATGTAGTTCATTTAGCATCAACATATACAGTTTGAATTCTAACAAATTAGCACAAGATTGTATTAGTGCAATTGACGGCATGCATATTGAGATGCGTGTACCAAATGTTAAAAAGATCGTGCACATTAGATAGTGTGGATCTCCAACACAAAATATAATGGTGGCTTGCAACTTTAATATGTGTTCACATTCGTTATGGCTTGGTGGGAGAAAAACACTCATGATAGGCACATTTTCAAGTTTTTCACCCTGTCTTATGTGCACAATTTTCCACTCCCACCTTAAGGTTGGTTGTTTGTCCAGTTGGCTCTTTCAATTGGTCCGATTGAAGCTAGCTAAACATGAACAATTACTATAGAAAAATATTATTTAGTGGATGTTGGTTATCCATTATAATGGGGTTTTCTTTAGCAAGTTATGAACACAAAAAATCACATATCAGATTTTGAACCGGGAAGTCAAGTGGTACGAGGAAGGAAGGAAATGTTTAAAATGCATCATTCATCGCTGAGGGATGCTATTAAGAGGGCTTTCGACATATGGAAAAAAGGGTATTTTTTCATGACATGTCAACATACCCTTTTGAAAATAAGTTAAAATTATTATCGAAATAAAGGTCCTTCACAATTATAATCCATGGACATCATTCACAGTTCGATGTTGACTTTGCAAGTGTTAATAGAAATGAAATGGTACTATTCAAAGTGTATGAATATTGAATGGGTCGAAAAATTGCAGACAACAAAGAAGTTGTCATTCAAATTATTGGTGATGGTGAAGGTGTCGATAAGATGGTGGTTTTGCGTGTTGATGTGCTCTGATTGGGTGTTTATTCTATTTGTTTGCCTGCTTGTACGAGGATGCTTTACTAAATTTTTGGAGGCCTTGAGAATTATATTAGACCATTCGACACCTTCATGGATTGTAAAAGCTCTTGAGAATTATATTAAACTTTGGAAATTATGTGGGTAAGTGGAATTTCATGGATTGAACTTGCTTCTGTGTTAGATGCACATGAATATCAACTCAAGTCTTTCCTTACAATATTGGCTGAAAAAGAATTTGGTTGAAATGTATTAACTTGATTTGAATTATATATTTATTTTCATAAACAAGCTGCTCTTCACTTAGGCTTGAAGGTACACATATTTATTAATGTCACTTTTTTCCTTTGTTTTTTTTTTGTAATTTTTCTTTTTTTTCAGCTGTGGATATGCATTTCTTCCCAAAATTCCATGTTCTTCTTTGCAACCATGTGGGTAAAATGTATTTCATGGAATTCTTTGCGGCTATGTGGGTGAGGGTATTTAGATGCAACAATAATTGCTAATCCTATGTGTACAATTCAAGCATTTCTAGATTTTAAAAGTTTCAATGCTTAAAATTTCATGTTTTCTCCTTCATGCCAGTTAACTATTTATTTCTTGGATGAGCCATAAGTCTATAGACATTTTATTGGGTGATTCAGACGGGAAAGTTTTTGCATGAACCATGGCTTTGGCTGAAGTGCCATTAGTTGGAATGCATTGAACTGCTAAGAACATATTTGAATATTGGCTCCTTTTCTTTATGCAACTTGTTTTTTTTTTATTTGGACTTCTAAAGCATGGC